TGCCCAAAACAGCTGGGCTTCAGTTGATGTCCAAAACACCTGGACTTCAGTTGATGTCCAAAACACCTGGACTTCAGTTGAAGTTCAAAACACCTGGACTTCAGTTGATGTCCAAAACACCTGGACTTCAGTTGAAGACCAAAACACCTGGACTTCGGTTGATATTCAAAACACCTGGACTTCAGTTGATGCCCAAAACACCTGGACTTCGGTTGATGTCCAAAACACCTGGACTTCAGTTGATGTCCAAAACACCTGGACTTCAGTTGATGCCCAAAACACCTGGACTTCGGTTGATGTCCAAAACACCTGGACTTCAGTTGATGTCCAAAACACCTGGACTTCAGTTGATGCCCAAAACACCTGGACTTCGGTTGATGTCCAAAACACCTGGACTTCGGTTGATGTCCAAAACACCTGGACTTCAGTTGATGTCCAAAACATCTGGACTTCGGTTGGTGTCCAAAACACCTGGATTTCAGTTCATGCCCAAAACACCTGGACTTCGGTTGATGTCCAAAACACCTGGACTTCAGTTGATGTCCAAAACATCTGGACTTCGGTTGGTGTCCAAAACACCTGGATTTCAGTTCATGCCCAAAACACCTGGACTTCGGTTGATGTCCAAAACATATGGACTTCAGTTGATGTCCAAAACATATGGACTTCGGTTGATGTCCAAAACACCTGGACTTCAGTTGATGTCCAAAACATCTGGACTTCGGTTGGTGTCCAAAACACCTGGATTTCAGTTCATGCCCAAAACACCTGGACTTCGGTTGATGTCCAAAACACCTGGACTTCGGTTGATGTCCAAAACACCTGGACTTCAGTTGATGTCCAAAACATCTGGACTTCGGTTGGTGTCCAAAACACCTGGATTTCAGTTCATGCCCAAAACACCTGGACTTCGGTTGATGTCCAAAACACCTGGACTTCGGTTGATGTCCAAAACACCTGGACTTCAGTTGATGTCCAAAACATATGGACTTCGGTTGATGTCCAAAACACCTGGACTTCAGTTGATGTCCAAAACATATGGACTTCAGTTGAAGTTCAAAACACCTGGACTTGGGTTGATGTCCTAAACACCTGGACTTCAGTTGAAGACCAAAACACCTGGACTTCAGTTGATGTCCAAAACATATGGACTTCAGTTGAAGTTCAAAACACCTGGACTTGGGTTGATGTCCTAAACACCTGGACTTAGGTTGAAGCCCAAAACACCTGGACTTTGGTTGATGTCCAAAACACCTGGACTTCGGTTGAAGCCCAAAATACCTGGAGAGGGCGTCCCCTGGGCAACATCCTTGCAGACGTCCAATTCTCTCACACCAGAAGCGACTTGCAGTTTCTCAAGTCGCTTCTGACATGACAAAAAAAACACTGAGAAATAATATCTTACAGGCTGCATTGTGACTTGAACCATCCTCCAATTTGTTTGATGGGGGTTCAGTCTTTTCTAGGATGCTTTGGGATGACTCAGGGTGGGTTCATTCAGGAATTACTTTCCTTCGCATGGATGAGTCCTTTGTTTGAAGAAACCTGCCTAGAAACACAGGGAAACAAGGTCAGTCGATACACACCGCTGTGCTCCGAAAAGAAAAACGAGGGGAGCACTTAGGCCTCAGTCTGAAGAATGGAAATAGGTCAGAAATTATTCAAATATGTTTCCCATCCTTTTGCATCCTTTTACTGCAACTGCAGCCCTTTAATGAATGAGATGTAATTTACTAGCAAAAAGAGACATATTAACAATGTCAGCCGTAGGTTTTATTTTTTTTTCCAGAGGTAATTGAAGCGGTAGTTTACCGAAATCAATGTTACATAGTAAGTACTGAGACTTTTGTTCACGGTAACCAATCACGGAGGTTTATGGATTTCTACCCCTGTTGTTTCCACCTCCCTCGGGTAAACAAACAATAGTGTATCTGTTCCATTTACCCAGAAGAGCAAGATTTAAGGTCTCTCCATTCTTTTGCTGGCTGTATTTTCGATTGTTATCGCTGTCCAGGTTTGGAAATTGCAAAGGAAGAGGCGATAACGCAGATACAGTGGAACCTCTACTTAAGAGGGTTTCAACTTAAGAGTGTTTTGAATTAAGAGCCATCTCTTGGTCTTGGTTTTGCTTTGACATATTGATTTCGAGCCGCTTTTAGGAGGATCTCCCCAGCCGAGGAGATCCCGAGGACCGCACCAAAGAGGGTCCCGGAACATTGGTGAGGGCAGCGAAGCCAATTCCAGCAGCGAAAATATTAAAATAATAAATCCCCACCAAAGCGGAAGAAGCTGGCGACCGAGGTGTCTTTATTAGCGATTCAGCTGAGATCGGATGCATTGCAGGGATAGTTCCACTACAAGCATACCAATACAAAGTTTACAGGCATTTTTTATAGGCATTTTACAGAAAAACATTTCAAATTTCCCGCCCTTCCTTCCCCGCCCAGCTTTCTGCTGACTGGTTGACAGCCTGAACAGCTGGGAGGAGGCTTGGCGGCCCGCCTCACTCTGGGCCAATCAGCAAGCTTCCCTGCCTCTGGGGGACCAATGGGCGCGCTCCTCTCGCTTCCGAGGAGGGACGAATCAGGAGAGAGGAGGCGGGATGATTGTTGACAATGGGGGAAATGATGGGATTATCGCTAGCCGGCCAGCTGGAATGTGAGGCTTTGTAGCTTAAAAGCCTCCAAAGAAGGAGCCTCCACCACACTCTGGGCAGAGAGTTCCACTGCTGAACAGCTCTCAGTCAGGAAGTTCTTCGTGTTCAGATGGAATCTCCTCTCTTGTAGTTTGAAGCCATTGTTCCATTGCGTCCTAGTCTCCAGGAAGCAGAAAACAAGCTTGCTCCCTCCTCCCTGTGGCTTCCTCTCACATATTTATACATGGCTATCATCATGTCTCCTCTCAGCCTTCTCTTCTTCAGGCTAAACATGCCCCTGGCTTCATGTTACACGTCCTGTTTTAAAGGCACTTCGTTTCAAGCCCAGCGGCGACAGAACAGTTGTATTGTTGAAGGCTTTCATGGAATCACTGGGTTGTTGTAGGTTTTTTAGGTTGCATGGCCATGTTCTAGAAGCATTCTTTCCTGACGTTTTGCCTGCATCTATGGCACGCATCCTCAGAGGTTGTGAGGTAATCTGAGGATCTGCCATAGATGCAGGCAAAATGTCAGAGGAGAATGCTTCTAGAACATGGCCATACAGCCTGAAAAACCTACAACAACCCATTTGGGTTAGTTGATGTTGTGTGGTTTTTATTCTCAGTATGTTTAGCTTCTTGAAGGGAAAGAGAAGGAGAGAGAACAAGAGAGGGAGGGAGGCTGGAAAGCGGACGGGAGAAAAAAGAAAAGGATGCTTTGGCCTCTTCAGTTTCTACTTCCTTGCCACAACTTTGTACTTCTTCCATTTTAAAGTCTATCTTTTTGTTATTCCATGTTAATGTGCATTTGTACATTAATTAATCTATATAAATAAAAATGTAATGTTCGTTTGTGATACCATCAGAACTCAAAAACCACTGGGGGAACTGGCACCAAATTTGGACACAATACACCTAACAACCCAATGTATGTTCTCCACTCAAAAAACCCCAAAAAACACTTTCTCCTCCCTTCCCCCACCCCCCTTAGAAAGACATTCAATTGTAAGCCTCAGGGAGGGAGGGGGAGGGAAGGAGTGCACGTGCATGGCCAGCAGCGAGTGCGCATGCCCAGCAGGCTCCCATTGAGGCCCTCCCTTCTGGAGCTGGAGGAAAAGCCCTCATCCCCGCAGGCCTGCTACCCTGTCACTATCCTTTACATCAGGGGTCCTCAAACTATGGGGTGTGGAGAAGGGTGAGTCCCCCCCCCAAGACATGCTTCCCCAGGCAGCAGCACTCCGGCAGGTGCAGAGGAGGCTGGGCTCCTTCCTCCTCCTCTTCCAAGGAGTAAACTTGCAACTGAAGGAAAGGAGGGATGGGGGGGGGGCACATTAGGAGCTGAGGGGAAAGAACAAACAAAAAGAGGTAAACAACACTTTAGAAAGGAAGGAAAGAAGGAAGGAAGGAAGGAAAGAAAGAAAGAAAGAAAAGGAGGGAGGGAAAGAAGAAGAAGAAAAGTAAAAAGGAAAGAAAAAGGGAGGGAAATGCAGGAAAGAAGTAAAGAAGGAAGGAGAAAAGGAAATAAAAAGTGAAAGAAGGAAGGAAACAGGGAGGGAAGAAAGGAGACAAAGGAAGAAGTAGAGAAAGGGGGAGAAAAGGAAGAAAAGAGAAGGAAGGATGAAACCAAAGAGCGAAAGAAGGAATGAAAGAAAGAGGTAGAGAAGGAAGAAAGGAGAGAAAGGGGAAGAAAAAAAGGGGGAAGGAATAGGTAGGTACCTCTCTTTCATAATAGTCCAGATATCTACCTCTACTTTGAAAACTCTTACTATAGGCCACAGCAACGCGTGGCAGGGCACAGCTAGTAATTTATAAATTACGTTTAGTTAATTTAAAACACATAATTGAAAAAAAATGTGGGGGGGGGGAGTTTGGTGGACCAAAACGGATTAATAGCATTTCAATAGGAAAATTCGATTTGAGATAAGAGTGTTTTGAGTTAAGAGCTTGGTCACGGAACAAATTAAAAGCCAAGATATCACTGTAGTGTGACCAATCCTCCCACTATGGATTTGAAGGGAAAAAAAGGACTATCACTTACATTTCATGGTGATCCTGGTGTCATGGTTGGTGTTCAAATCTGGTTGAGTTCAAATCCGCACTTGGCCATGGAAGCCCACCTAGATGATCTTGGGGAAATCACCCACAGAAGAAGGCAATGGCAAACCCACTCGGAACACATCTTGGCAAGAAACCCCCACAATAGATTTGCCTTTCTGTTAATTGTTGTCTCGTTCCCTTTGACTTATGGTGACTCCATGAATGAGAGACCTCCATGTCCCCCTTTTGTCCCAGGTAGGAAAAAGTCTTGAGACGGCCTTGGGAGACGCCCTCCTCACCATCTTTTCCCTTTCTCTTTCTTTTGATAGCCAACAACATCTGCTTCTATGGCGAGTGCTCTTACTACTGCTCGACGGAGCACGCTCTGTGTGGGAAGCCAGACCAGATTGAAGGCTCTCTCGCTGCCTTCCTGCCAGACCTCTCCTTGGCCAAAAGGAAGACTTGGAGGAATCCGTGGAGACGCTCCTACCACAAACGCAAGAAAGCAGAGTGAGTATTTTCTAAATATATATAGTGATGTAAAGTAGGCATGGTTAGGTACAGTCGGAATCTTCTGTCAGAGATAGACGATGCCCAGCGGAAGGAATGCTAGATCAGCAGACACTGAGTTGCAAAATAAGGACTGCAGGCTTTGAGTTACAAAAAAAACCTAAGTTTACTAAGTGCATACATCAGACACGTCTTTCTACAGCAAGCTACAATTCAGGAACTAGTCAAAACGAAAGCCACTTCACATCTGCTTATCTTCTCTTCCTGAAACTGGTCACTCCCTTATGTTCCCAGCAAGAGCAAACCTTATCTTACTTTTCTCAAGTTCACATAATCACAGCCTCATAGTATAAACATTTTGCACAGCATTTCTAATTCACAGTGGCATCCATATTTGCAATACATAGAAGCACATTTAGAACACATACATAACTAAATTAATCCTGACATCTTTGTAATTCGGAAAAAAAATTCAGAAAAATTACCTTTTCGGAGCGATTTTGAAGTTTTTAAGAAAATAGGAAGTCCCTTTGTCCTTCCAAAGCTTTTTCCGCCATATTTTACGACTCATGAAGTGAGTCGGAAATTATTCAGCTTTCCCCCGCTTTTGGTCCTTGGCCTTGGCACAAGCCAGAGAAGCCAGTTTTAAACCAGAAAAGGAAGCAATTTCCTAGCCTTGTCTCAAGCCAGAGAAGCCAATTTTACACCACAGAAGGAAAGAATTTCCTCCACTTGCTTTTCCCTGATTCTGGTCCCTGGCCTCGGCTCAAGCCAGAGAAGCAAGTTTTAAACCAGAGAGGGAAAGAATTTCCTCCACTTACTTTTCCCCCATCTAGTGGCCTTGACTTAAGCCAGAGAAGCCAATTTTAAACCAGAGAGGGAAAGAATTTCCTCCACTTACTTTTCCCACATCTAGTCCCTGGCCTTGACTTAAGCCAGAGAAGCCAGTTTTAAACCAGAGAAGAAAAGAATTTCCTCCACTTGCTTTTCCCACTTCTGGTTCCTAGCTTCGGCTCAAGCCAGAGAAGCCAGTTTTAAACCAGAGAGGGAAATAATTTCCTCCACTTACTTTTCCCACATCTAGTCCCTGGCCTTGACTTAAGCCAGAGAAGCCAGTTTTAAACCAGAGAGGGAAAGAATTTCCTCCACTTGCTTTTCCCACATCTAGTCCCTGGCCTTGACTTAAGCCAGAGAAGCCAGTTTTAAACCAGAGAAGGAAAGAATTCACTCCACTTGCTTTTCCCCTCTTCTGGTTCCTGGCCTGTGCTCAAGCCAGAGAAGCCAGTTTAAACCAGAGAGGGAAAGAATTTTCTCCATTCACTTCTGACATGATAAATTTAAAAAAAAAATGCCAAATGGAACTGTAGAGGAGAGTCTACTGGCAAGAAACAAGCCAGTGCTTGCCGCATCCCAGTACTGCCGTCTGTTGAGGAATTACGAAAGTGGAGGCATTACTTTTCATTCAACCCTCATATTTAGAAATTCTTCTTCATGAAGACTCTGAATTTTGGGGGAGTTAGTTCTTCTCATGGCTAACATTTCCATCCTTTTCTCTAGGTGGGAAGTTGATCCAGATTACTGTGAAGAAGTGAAGCAAACGCCTCCCTACGACCGAGGGACCCGGATCTTGGACATCATGGATATGACCATCTTTGACTTCCTCATGGGTAGGTTCCCCATTGTCTGGCATAAGACCGCTGCCAAGGTCGTTCCTGGCAGAGCAACAGGGCCAGAGGTAGCATTAGGCCAGCTTCCATCTCAGAAACGGAAGGTAGTCATCCTCCTCCTTCCATAAGAGGTGTGAATGTTTGGTTATTGATGTTGTTGGTTATGATGATGGTGGTGGTGGTGCATAATTGTTGATCTGCACATGGGTTCAGAATGTAAGTAGAGATCTGAGGAATCTTTATCCAAAACTGGGTTGCTGCGAGTTTCGCTACCTGCCTGGCTAAGTTCCAGAAGCATTCTCTCCTGACGTTTCACCCACATCTATAGCAGGCATTCTCAAAGGTTTTGAGATCTGTTGGAAACTAGGTAAGGGGGGGCGCATATATATATATATATATATATATATATATATATATATATATAGTTGCTTACTTAGACGATCCCTCGTAGTCTGAGAATGATAGTCTCCTAGTGTCCTGATGGTGGGTCCATAAGTGACTATGGAGCCCTATTCTTGACCTGCATCTTCTCCCACAGTGAGGGCTAGGCCTGTGCGGTTTCGTTCGTTAATTTCGTTATTCGTTAAACATTCGTTATTTTTGGCATTTACGAGGCGATATCAAAACACTTTTTCAAACCCGGAAGGGTTTTAAAATATCGAAGCGGCATCCCCCATCCTTTTAACGAGCTTCCGCCCGTTTCGGAAATTGGATGGAGGATGCTGGTGCCTGGGAGCCAATCCGGCGCTCCCAAGCACCCAAGCAGTGCACCGTGGCTGATTTTGATTGGCCGGCAAGGCCTTTAAAAGCGGCTCCGCGTGGCCGCAGAGCTCATTTGTTGCGCGGAGGCGAGGGAGGAGAGAGGTCCGGGAGGGCTGCTTGCTTTGGGTTGGCTTGGGCAGGAAAAAGACTTGCATTGGGTTGGCTTGGTTGAAAAGAGTAGACTCTTCTGTTGGTGTGTGCTTTTGGCTGTCTTTTGGCTGTGTGTCTCCTGCCTGTGTTAGCTTTTATTCTTTAAAATTCTTTAAAATTTTATTCTTCTGCCTTTTATTCTTAAAAAAATACAAAAAATATTCTAAAAAAAGAAAAGACTCTTCTGTTGGTGTTTGCTCTCGATTGCCCTGTCTTTTGGCTGTGTTAGCTGTTCATCAGGGCCAGTTTTTGGTTAATTTTCCATTTTTGAATATTTTTTAAAAATACCTGCCTTTTATTCTTAAAAAAATACAAAAAATATTCTAAAAAAGAAAAGACTCTTCTGTTGGTGTGTGCTCTCGTTTGTCCTGTCTCGTGGCTGTGTTTGGTCCACATCAGGGCCAGTTTTGGGTTAATTTTCCATTTTTGAATATTTTCTAAAAATACCTGTCTTTTATTGTTAAAAAAATACAAAATATTCGCTTTAACGAATCGATTCGTTATTATCTCAATATCGAATCGAATCGTATTTAATAACGATGTTTCGGAAGCCGCTTTTGCGCATGCGCGATCGCGTCCGCCATTTTAACGAATCGATTCGTTATAACCTTAACGAATCGACCCCGCGCCAATAACGAAGCTTCGGAAGTGATTTTGCGCATGCGCGGGGGTCCGCCATCTTTACAAAATGTTTTGTAAATATTTACGAAATTTCGTAAATACCAAAACTTTTTTTGGAAAAATTTTGTAATTATTTTAAATATCGAAACAAAAAAACACCCCAATTACAAATGACTGTGGAGCCCTATTCTTGACCTGCATCTTCTCCCGCAATGAGGGCATTGGTTTCCAGGTGGGAGGCGGTCTTGGTCAGGGTTGGCTTGATGTGCCTTCCTCTTGGCACGTTTCTCTCTTTCACCCTCCATTCTTGCCTCTTCAAATTCTGCAGCACTGCTGGTCACAGCTGATTTCCAGCTGGAGTGGTCAAGGGCCAGGGCTTCCCAGTTCTCAGTGTCTATGCCAGAGTTTTTAAGGTTGGCTTTGAGCCCATCTTTAAATCTTTTTTCCTGCCCACCAACATTCCGTTTTCCGTTCTTGAGTTCAGAGTAGAGCAACTGCTTTGGGAGATGGTAGTCGGGCATCCGGACAACGTGGCCAGTCCAGCAGAGTTGATGTCAGAGGAGCATCGCTTCAGTGCTGGTGGTCTTTGCTTCTTCTTCCAGCCCGCTGACATTTGTCCGCTTGTCTTCCCAAGAGATTTGCAGGATTATATTATATTATTATTATTAGCATTTAATATTATTAGCATTGAATATTAATATTATTATTAATAATATTAATATGTTAATAATAATATATTTATAATAATATATTATTAATAGATTATACATTAATAATATTATATTAAAATAATATTATTAATATATTTATAATAATATATTACTATTAATATATTATTAATGGATTATTTTATTAATATATTATATATTAATATAATATGTTAATAATAATATATTATTAATAACAATATTAATAATAACTAATTAATATTAATAATATTATTAGCATTGAATAGCCTTGCAGCTTCAAAGCCTGGCTGATTCCTGCCTCATTGCAACTTTCTCACTTGCCTCCCACAGCCAATGTTCTCTCATCCTGGACATTATTCCACAGATATATAAACCCAATTTTCCTGACTTCACAACCTCTGAGGATGCCTGCCGTAGATGTGGGCGAAACGTCAGGAGAGAATGCCTCTCAGTCAGCGCATATACTCCTCCTCGCACGGGATTTCCCTGTGAGCCTTCAGTGGCATGACTTAATTATATTTGTTTTCCTTTCCATTGTAGGCAACATGGACCGGCATCACTACGAAACTTTTGAGAAATTTGGGAATGAAACCTTTATTATCCACTTAGACAATGGAAGGGGGTAAGTTTACTCTAAACCAGGGGTCCTCAAACTTTTTAAACTGGGGGCCAGTTCACTGTCCCTCAGACCGTTGGAGGGCCGGACTATAGTTTTTTTAAAAAATAAATAAATAAAAAATTCCTTTGCACATATCTTATTTTGCTGTGTGGAAGGGCCCTTAGAGGGGGTTCTTTCTAGCCCTCTTTAGGCAGTAATTCCAGGAGCAGAGAATGGGAAATCTTCCTATTTCTAGTCTGAACAAAATCTGTCTACCAGTATTAAAAAAAACTCTAAAATTATAACTGTAAATAAAGAACAACACTCAAACACAGGGGAACTCCAGACAAGAAACAATCAGGGCCAGCTAATCACCTCTCAACAAAGGATTCTCCCTAAAAACTGTCAGGCTATGAAATGGTCATCAAGTGGCCAATTGAAACATTCATACCTACCTCCAACAGACAAGAGTTCTTTCTCCCACCCTGGATCTTCCACAATTTTCCTAAAGGTTTTCCTCTGACATGAAGTCCAGTCGTGTCTGACTCTGGGGTGTGGTGTTGTTGTTCATTCGTTCACTCATCTCCGACTCTTCGTGACCTCATGGGCCAGCCCACGCCAGAGCTCCCTGTCGGCCGTCACCACCCCCAGCTCCTTCAAGGTCATTCCAGTCACTTCAAGTATGCCATCCATCCATCTTGCCCTTGGTCGGCCCCTCTTCCTTTTGCCTTCCACTTTCTCCAGCATAATTGTCTTCTCTAGTTCTAAGTCGAAGAGCCGCCACTGTGTCCGTAGACACCTCCAAGGTCATGTGGCCAGCATGACTGCATGGAGCGCCGGGGCAGCCTTGCCCTTGGCTGGCTCACACTGCCCATCGGGCCTGACAGATAGCGTGAGCCTGCCAAGGGAGGAGCAGCACCGCACAGCCTACTTTCACGTAAAGCACCTCATGAGGAGCTTTACGCACGAGTAGGCTGCGCGGAGCAGCTGCCCTTGGCTGGCTCACGCTGCCCATCGGGCCTAATGGATAGTGTGAGCCAGCCAAGGGAGGAGCAGCCCTGTGCTGCCTACTCATGTGTAAAGCACCTCGTGAAGTGCTTTACGCGTGAGTAGGCCTCACGGAGGAACTGCCCTTGGCTGGCTCACACTGCCCATCGGACCTGATGGATAGCGTGAGCCAGCCAAGGGAGGGGCACTGTGTGTGGGGGGGGCGCTCCTCCTCCACGGGCCGGATAAGTGCCCTTGGTGGGCTGGAAGTGGCCCGCGGGCCATAGATTGAGGACCCCTGCTCTAGAGTTTTCAATTAATATCTCATCACGAAGTCGCTACCAATTCATCAATTAAACAGGAAATAACACTTTCCAATCAGGAACTGACCATGTTTCCACTTTTGTTACGTTATGTTATTGGGGGGCTTCGGGGCCACGCGACCAGGTCCCATTTCCCTCCTCCATCCACTTTCAGCAATGGAGGCAAAACTATTTATAGTCCCAAAAGCAGGGCATCGAATGAATTCCCGGAGACGTTTTGTTTTCTCATTTTCTCTTTCTGTTATAGGTTTGGAAAATACTCCCACGACGAGCTTTCTATCTTGGTGCCTTTGAATCAGTGCTGCAGGTAGGTCTCCCTGGCTCTTGCATTATGAAAAGATCTTGGAGTCCTCGTGGACAACAAGTGAAACATGAGCCAACAATGTGATGTGGCGGCAACGGGATTTTGGCCTGCATCAAGAGGAGCATGGTGTCTAGCTCCAGGGAAGTCCTGCTCCCCATGCTCTCTTCCGCTTTGGTTAGACCACTTTACCTGGAATATTGTGTCCAATTCTGGGCACCACAATTCAAGAGAGATATTGACTCTAAGCTGGAATGTGTCCAGAGGAGAGCGACTAAAATGATCAAGGGTCTGGAGAACAAGCCCTATGAGGAGCGGCTTAGGGAATTGGGCATGTTTAGCCTGAAGAAGAGAAGGCAGAGAGGAGATATGATGAGGACCATGTATAAATAGGTGAGAGGAAGCCACAGGGAGGAGGAGGGAGCAAGCTTCCTTTCTGCTTCCCTGGAGACTAGGACGCAATGGAGGAATGGCTTCAAACTACAAGGAAGGAGATTCCATCTAAACATGAGGAAGAACTTCCTGACTGTGAGAGCCGTTCAGCAGTGGAACTCTCTGCCCCGAAGTGTGGTGGAGGCTCCTTCTTTGGAAGCCTTTAAACAGAGGCTGGATGGCCATCTGCCAGGGGTGATTTGAATGTATTATTCCTGCTTCTTGGCAGAATGGGGTTGGACTGGATGAAGGCCCAGGAGGTCTCTTCCAAGTCTAGGATTCTAGGATTCTTGGGTTTGCACGCATGCACTGTGTTCTGTTTTTCCTTTTTAAAATTTAAGGGTCTTATTGTTTTTTGGGAGGAATTTTTTGAGTGAAGGGCATAGATTGCTTTGAAAGGTGTCTTTTGTCCAGATTTGATGTCAGTTCGCCCACCAGTTTTTGAGTTCTGTTAATCCCACAAACGAACATTACATTTTTATTTATATAGAAGATAGATAGATAGATAGATAGATAGATAGATAGATAGATAGATAGATCGATAGATAGAATATGATCTCTACCCGATTCCTTCTTTTCTCTCTCTCCCTTTCTTGCCTGTGCCTGGTCTGTTCCCTGATCCTGAGCCGTGCCTCCAGAAAACCAGGGCATTGCCTACCCAACAATGAAACAACCTTTTGATAACTTGAGTTACCTGATCCTTTACGAACTCAGAGCTCAGAACATTCCAGTCCTCAGAATCAAGAGATGCCTTGTATTTTCACCTTTTCAGCCTATTTTTGCAGAAGACGACAAAGGGTGGAAAGGGTTGGGAGCTTAGGAATGTAAGAGGAGCCCTGTTGAAGCGGAACAAAATCCATCTCCTCGAGCGTCCCCTTGACCAGCAAACTCAAAAGGAAGCTTTGAAAGCAAGTGCTCTCCCTCTCTCTCCTGCCAATGTGCCTCTGTCACTGATAGAGAATAGAGGCACTCACTCCAACCAAGTCTCAGCATCAGGACTGGAAAAAATGGAAGGAGAGCACCAAATGTTGTGGAAAGGACCTCACAACCACTCAGGATGCTTGCCACAGATGCAGGCGAAACGTTAGGAGAGTATGCTTCTAGAACATGGCCAGACAGTCGGAAAAAACTACAACAACCCTTGTTGATGGGTTGCTGTAGGTTCTCTGGGCTGTCTGGCCATGTTTCAGTAGTATTCTCTACTGACATTTTGCCTGGAGGCATCCTCTGCTTCGGAGATGTTAACTGGCACTCCACTTACCTCGTTGCAAAGTCACTCACTGAGGGTATTTTGCAAAGAGGCAGCCTGGCTTTTGTTGCCTGGAGGCATCCTCTGCTTCAGAGGCGTTAAATGGCACTCCACTTGCCTCATTGCAAAGTCACTCACTGAGGGTATTTTGCAAAGKGGCAGCCTGGCTTTTGTTGCCTGGAGGCATCCTCTGCTTCAGAGGCYTTAAATGGCACTCCACTTGCCTCATTGCAAAGTCAATCAGTGAGGGTATTTTGKAAAGAGGRAGCCTGGCTTTTGTTGCCTGGAGGCATCCTCTGCTTCGGAGGCGTTAACTGGCACACCCCACTTGCCTCATTGCAAAGTCAATCAATGAGGGCATTTTGCAAAGAGATAGCCTGGCTTTTGTTGCCTGGAGGCATCCTCTGCTTCAGAGGCGTTAAATGGCACTCCACTTGCCTCATTGCAAAGTCAATCAGTGAGGGTATTTTGCAAAGAGGTAGCCTGGCTTTTGTTGCCTGGAGGCATCCTCTGCTTCGGAGGCGTTAACTGGCACTCCCCACTTGCCTCATTCCCCAAGAGACCTCTGATCAAATCTCTGAGGATGCTTGTCACAAATGCAGGCAAAACATCAGGAGAGAATGCTGCTGGAACAGCCTTGGCATGCTGGTTGATATCCAAACAGAGGAAGGGTCAGTTATGTCACTGCCTTGGTCCTTTCATTACTGGCTGCTGCTTCCCAACAGATGTGAGGTGGTGCAATACTAACTACCTTCACAAACAGCAATTCCTAACTCACTCTTTTGACTCTCTAACTGCCTGTTTTTAAAACCTTGGCTCCGCCCCTTTGGAAGGTTTTGCTCTGCTCTCTCTCCAAGTGTCATTTTGGCCTAGCAACCTTTTCAAATCCTGGGCCTACGCTAATCTGCATATGACCAATAGGCTTTCATATGCAAATGAATCCTATCTCTGCTGTTGCTACCCTGTCTGTGCCTATTCTTCCCTATCTGCCATATGTAAACATAGAGCCAGGGGCGGCTCGTCCATTACGCGAAGTAAGCGGTCGCAGAACACTTTTTTTGCCAGGGGCGCAGAGGCGCCTCTGTAAATGCCCCTCGACCGCCACTTGAGGAGTGTCCCCTCAGCTCACAACAGCCCTAGCAGTCCGGGGGGAGCCTCGACTTTCTTGCCTCACTGCCGGGCGATCCTCTTCCCAAAGGGGCCGGGCCCTTGAGCCTCGCCTAGCCCCTCTCGTTTCTGCTCCACCTGGCCACCGGGTGCACGAGCAGAGCCGGCGCTCAATCGTTCTCCACGTTCGATCCCTTCCTCATGACCAGCTCCCTTTCCCGATCCCCGGCGCTCCACCCGCCTCCTCTCCTCTCCCCAATCCGCAGGTGGGCCAAGGGGCGGAGCCGCCATGCCTGGCCCGCTTTGGGTCCAGAGGCGTGTCTGAAGACCCCAGCGTGCACACCAAAAGTCGCCTCTTCTCCTGACTTTCTCTTCAGCCATTGGGACCGAGAGAGAGAGAGAGAGAGAGAGCCCCTCCGGCTGGAGGTATCTCCCACCTCCGCTCCCTCCTTTGTTTTTGCGCCTACCTTCAGGAAAGGTGGGCATCTCCACCCCTCTCTCTCTCTCTCTCTCTCTCTCTCTCTCTCTCGGTCCCAATGGCTGAGGAGAAAGTCAGGAGAAGAGGTGACTTTTGGTGCACACGCCGGGTCTTCAGGCACGCCTCCGGACCCAAAGCGGGCCAGGCAAGGGAGCAAGTGCGGCAAGTGTAGTTACTGGGATATATAGTTCACCTACAATCAAAGAGCATTCTGAACTCCACCAATGATGGAATTGAACCAAATATGGCACACAGAACTCCCACGACGAACAGAAAATATATATCAATGATTGGTTGGGGGGGGGGGCGCCAAAATACTGTTTGCTTACCTTTGAAAATTACCTAGGGCCGCCTCTGCATAGAGCTATACACCAAAAATTTAACATAGAGTAGCAATTTCGCTACACCCTCCCTCTTCCCAATGTAATTCATGGTCTTCGTTTTCTTCTAGAATACGGAAGTCGACTTACCTGCGCCTCCAGCTCCTGGCCAAGGAAGAGTACAAGCTGAGCCACCTGATGGAAGAGTCTTTGCTGAAGGACAAAATTGCTCCCATTTTGTACCAGTTGCACCTGGAAGCCATGGACCGGAGGCTTCGGATAGTCCTCAAGGCCGTCCGGGACTGTATAGAAAAGGACGGCCAGAGCAACGTGGTGGAAAACGACGTTGTCTCCGACACGGACACGATTACGACCAAGAGGTAGTGAAATCGCGAGACAGTCCCGGCTTCCTTTTATTCGCTCTCTCCAAGAAGAAGAAGAAGAAGGAAACCAAGAAGAGAAGAAAACATCCCACACACAAGAAACAGTCTTGCGAAGGACTGTGTGTATGCCACGTTGTGAATTCAGTGAATTCAGAAATTGCAATCATCATCGTTCTCCAAGTAGTTTAAGGTGTAGACTCTTGAGAAGAATATCGGCTGCGGAGAAGCAGCTCGTGTCACCGGCGGGACGGACAAACAGACGGTGGTGGCTCTCGGTGACTTTTGGTGGAGGTGACCGTCCTGCTTCCCTTCGTCTCTAACTTATTTCTTCCCTTGGCCCATCGAAGGCATTGGATGACCCTTCATGGGAGGTGGAGCTTCTGGTAAGCCCTACCTGCCTCGTGGTTGTGCATTCCTCACCACGTTCTGCAGAACCGTGGGTGTGTTTGCACGCACGCAGTGGGAGGAAGCGCTCGCTTACGAGCCATACTGGATAAGGCTTGCGGGGGGAAATCAAGGGAGATAACGGCACGGCGAGCAGGATTATCTCTCTGTGTGCAAACCAAGAAGGAACACGTGGTGGTCGCTCTCCAAGTCCCCAAAGAGGATGGGAAAGGTCTCTGGGATGATGTGACGCTCGCCTGCCGGCAAAACGGCTCCTCTCCTTTTCTCCTTTCGTTTGTACAGAAAGCAGATCTTTATTTAATATTTTGTATTTATATAGAGGGGGTGGTTGTGGACTTTTCCAAAAAAATGCAAACCTACCTACCAAATTTTATTTGAGAGAGAGGAATCAGGTTAGCGTTCATTGCTCGCAAGGTAAATAAAGGCTGGCATTGAGCTAAAGCACACTGGTCAGAGCAGGCATCGTCCAACTTGGGTCCTCCTTCAAGGTGTTTTGGACTTCAGCTCCCATAATTCCCGGCCTCAGGCCCTTTCCTTAGTTGCCCAGACTAGTTTGAAGATGTTCCCAATTGTGACCCTCCCTCCAAGTGTTTTGGACTTCAGCTCCCACAATTCCTGGCCTCAGGCCCTTTCCTTAATTGCCCAAACTAGTTTGAAGATGTTCCCAATTGTGGCCCTCCCTCCAAGTGTTTTGGGCTTCAGCTCCCACAATTCCTGGCCTCAGGCCCTTTCCTTAGTTACCCAGACTAGTTTGAAGATGTCCCCACCAACTCTCTGAGGACAATTGTGTCATAGATTCATACTAGGCATGTGCAATTCATGGTTCTAAATAGTTCTAAAGTACTTACAAAACTAAAGTTGTGAAAACTAGGGGGTGCTGGTGCTTTGCTTCTACAGTGCTGCTAAAGTTCTGGTGGTGAAAATTTCAGAACTCTAACACAACTTTCAAAATTTCATGATAAATGGCAGTTCCTGTCATAAACATCCCCAATAATGAAATAATAATGAAATTTTGAAAGTTTTGTTAGAGTTCTGAAATTTTCACCACCAGAATTTTTGCAACACTGTAGAAGCAAAGCACTAGCGCCCCCTAGTTTTCACAACCAGAACCTTAGTTTCATAAGTACTTTAGAACCATTTGCGCCAGTGCTCAGTGGACACAACAGTTGCATCTGGGGTTCCTCAAAGCACGTGTAGGCACAAGGTGGAAAGAACTGGGAGTCCAAAAGGAGCATCCAGTGCACATTAGAAGTACAGCTCAATGTGCCAAAGGGCTCCAATGTGCTAGGGTGGGTCACAAAGGTGGATCCACATTTGTGCCAGTGCTCAGTGGGCACAACAGTTGCACCTGGGGTTCCTCAGAGCACGTGTAGGCACAAGATGGAAAGGGCTGGGCGTCCAAAAGGAGCATCCAATGCACATTAGAAATACAGCTCAATGTGCCAAAGGGCTCCAATGTGTTAGGGTGGGTCTCAAAGGTGGATCCGCATTTGCGCCAGTGCTCAGTGGGCACAACAGTTGCATCTGGGGTCCCTCAAAGCATGTGTAGGCACAAGATGGAAAGGACTGGGGGTCTAAAAGTAGCATCCAATGCACATTAGAAGTACAGTTCAATGTTTCAAAGGACTCCAATGTGCTAGAGTGGCTCACAACAATTGCATCTGGTGTTCCTCAAAGCACATGTAGGCACAAGATGGAAAGGACTGGGAGTCCAAAAGGAGCATCCAATGCACATTAGAAGTACAGCTCAATGTGCCCAAGGGCTCCAATGTGCTAGGGTGGATCACAAAGGTGGATCCGCATTTGCGCCAGTGCTCAGTGGGCACAACAGCTACATCTGGAGTTCCTCAAAGCACGTGTAGGCACAAGGCGGAAAGGACGGGGGGTCCAAAAGGAGCATCCAATGCACATTAGAAGTACAGCTCAATGTGCCAAACGGCTCCGATGTGCTAGGGTGGGTCCCAAAGGTGGATCCGCATTTGCGCCAGTGCTCAGTGGGCACAACAGTTGCATCTGGGGTTCCTCAAAGCATGTGTAGGCACAAGATGGAAAGGACTGGGGGTCCAAATGGCGCATCCAATGCACATTAGGAGTACAGCTCAATGTGCCAAAGGACTCCAGCGTGCTAGAATGGGTCACAACGGTTGCATCTGGTGTTCCTCAAAGCACGTGTAGGCACAAGATGGAAAGGACTGGGAGTCCAATGCACATTATAAGTACAGCTCAATTGTGCCAAAGGGCTCCAATGTGCTAGGGTGGGTCACAAAGGTGGATCCGCATTTGCGCCAGTGCTCAATAGGCACAACGGTTGCATCTGGTATTTCTTAAAGCATGTGTAGGCACAAGATGGAAAGGACTAGGAGTCCACAAGGAGCATCCAATGCATATTAGAAGTACAGTTCAATGTACTAAAGGACTCCAATGTACTAGGGTGGGTCACATTTGTGCCAGTACTCAGTGGGCACAACAGTTGCATCTGGTGTTCCTCAAAGCACGTGTAGGCACAAGATGGAAAGGACTGAGAGTCCAAAAGGAGCATCCAATGCACATTAGAAGTACAGCTCAATGTTCCAAAGGGCTCCAATGTGCTAGGGTGGGTCTCAAAGTTGGATCCGCATTTTCGCCAGTGCTCAGTGGGCACAACAGTTGCATCTGGTGTTCCTCAAAGCATGTGTAGGCACAAGATGGAAAGGACTGGGGGTCCAAATGGAGCATCCAATGCACATTAGAAGTACAGCTCAATGTGCTAAAGGGCTCCAATGTGCTAGGGTGGGTCTCAAAGGTGGGTCCGCATTTGCGCCAGTGCTCAGTGGGCACAACAGTTGCACCTGGGGTTCCTCAGAGCACGTGTAGGCACAAGATGGAAAGGGCTGGGGGTCCAAAAGGAGCATCCAATGCACATTAGAAGTACAGCTCAATGTGCCAAAGGGCTCCAATGTGCTAGAGTGGGTCACTTGGCCCTCTGTTTAAAAAGTTTGAGGACCCCTGTTCTACAACATGACCATACAGCCTGAAAAACCTACAACAAGACCAGAGTTTCATTCATAACGATCCACATTGTGTACAAAATTTTGGCCTTGGATTGGAGTGCAAGCCAATGAGTTTAGGATGGAGCAGAAGTCTATTTTCCACCGTTTCTTGCGTTGACCTTCCTTCCAGTTCTCTCGTTAGTGGTAATTTATTTCCATCGTTTCCTTCCCGGTTTCCCTTCTCGCTCACCTCCTCACCGTGCCAAGGGTGAATCCATCTCCAAACTGGTTTCCTAATCCAAAAGGAAAAGGAAAACACACTTCCCAACCACAGTACGGCCAGGCAAAGTTACAACGATATAGTCAGAGGGGGGAGAAAAAGAAAAAGTAAAGATAATCAAGACTTTGGTAATTTGCGCATTGACAGGAATACTTGAATGTGATTTTACAAAGTGATGTTGCAAAACAAAATGACAAATTGTACTATTTATCCATCCGGAAGCAGCAGCGGTTCTCTTCCTCGGTTGTCGTAGCGGCGCGACTGCTTTCCCGACTTTTGCTTTTGATAGTTTTCATGTAAATAGAGACATATACCGGTTTTGAAAAAAAAATGAGGGTTAAAAAAAAACACAAAAAACTGCTTTCAGCAGCAATAGATTTACTTTTGCAGCATTTTTTTTTTTTGGTGGATTTGTTTGCAATGTGGTCCCAGTGCAATAAAGATATTGGCAAATGTGTAGCCAGAAAGTCTATGTGATTGTTTTCCTTTATGGACGCGGGTGGAAACTTACGTTTGCTCAAGGCGTGGAGAATCCATCAACTTTTCTTTGCAGCAGTGGTAATAATAATACGATACACTTTATTTATATTCCGCTTTATCTCTTCCCCCCCCCCCCCCGAAGGGACTCAATCTACATTGTTCTGTCGCACGCTGGGCCTGTAAATAATTGTCTTTAAATAGGACATGCGACCTTTGCCCAGCGGGAAGCCAGGGGGCCCAAAGAGAAGTTCTCAGAGGTTTTCCACCACAAATAGTCTTTAGATCAGTGTTTCTCAACCTGGGGGTCGGGACCCCTGAGGGGGTCACAAGGGGGTGTCAGAGGGGTCATGAAAGACCATCAGAAAACACAGTATTTTCTGTTGGTCATGGAGGTTCTGTGTGCCAAGTTTGGCCCAATTCAACCGTTGGTAGGGTTCAGAATACTCTTTGATTGTAGGTGAACTATAAATCCCAGCAACTACAACTCCCAAAAGTCAAGGTCTATTTTCCCCAAACTCCATCAGTGTTCACATTTGGACATATTGAGAATTCGTGCCAAGTTTGGTCCAGAATCCATCATTGTTTGAATTCACAGTGCTCTCTTGATGTAGGTGAACTACAACTCCAAAACTCAAGGTCAATGTCCACCAAACCCTTCCAGTATTTTCTGTTCGTCATGGGAGAACTATGTGCCATGTTTGGTTCAATTCCATTGTTGGTGGGGTTCAGAATGCTCTTTGGTTGTAAGTGAACTATAAACCACAGCAACTACAACTCCCACGGGACAAAATCAATACCCTCCCCGATCCCACCAGTATACAAATTTGGGTGTGTTGGATATTTGTGCCAAATTTGGTCCAGTGAATGAAAATACATCCTGCATATCAGATATTGACATTACGATTCATAACAGCAGCAAAATGACAGTTATGAAGTAGCAACGAAAATAATTTTATGGTTGGGGGTCACCACAACATGAGGAACTGTCTTAAGGGGTCGTGGGATTAGGAAGGTTGAGAACCACTGCTTTAGATGGCTTGTGAAGTATAACAAAGTCTTATATTAATGAACAGTCAAACAGAAACTTCTCTTATCTTCAATAAAGCTAAACAAATGCTTCCAGGCTTTTATGCAACTGGTGACTTCCTAATCTTGCCCATGAAGGACAGGCAACTGTCTTCAATAACTTCTTCTTTACTTTAAAGGAAAATCCCCTTTTTAACTTCTCCCAGGCTGACTGTAATCTAACCCTTACTGATGTGGGCTCTGCTACCGGGTCGAACTGCGTCTTGAAGCGCCAAGTGGACCTACCAGTAAAGGTTTATATATTCTCCAGCTGGAGTTCTTTGGTCTTTAGGGCTGTTTTCCTGGAAACTTTGGAGTCTCTTAAGACTGTTTTCCCCCAGACAGTCTTAAGGGTTGAAGCTTTTGTACAGGGGAAGCTTGCACATGTCCTGTACATTAGCTTTCCTTGCTGAGACTAACTAAAAAATTGCTCCCTTCCCTTCCCAATTGCCCTGAGGAAGGGGCGGAACCAAAACTCAATGATGATGGACAGGTGGCTTGCCCTATGACTGCAACCAAAGAAAGCCACCCTCTGCAGAGTCCCTGTAACCCTGGTCTGCAAGAAAACACTCAAAACAAAGCAAATAGAGCCGCACCAGCACATACATATAGGGCAAACATGGCATCGTGCCAGAATTTTGGGGTCTTTGCCAGGAGGCAGAGACCAATCAGACTCATCAAAGAGTTTGTTACCCTGGCGAGACAGAGAGAAGCACCCAATCCCTGATTTTTCCCAATAAAAGGTCTCACCAAGTTGAAGGAAGAAGTGCCACCGAGGTTTATTAGTGATTCAGCTGAAAAGGATGCAGAGCGGCAATCATTCGCCAAGCAGAGCATGAAAAGTTACACAATAAATGCCATTTTTATAGAAAATACAGAGTTGTGAGTTTCAAATTTCCCGCTCCCGCCTCCTGCCGGTCTTGAAGGTGATTGGTTGGAGCGCAAACAGCTGGGAGGAGGCTCGCCCACCTC